AGCAGGTACTTTGTTGAGTATGCCATCACAAATGACAGAAATTACAAGGAACTGTGAAAGGGCTAGAATAAACCAGCTCTATTCTTTAACTGTGTAAAAACTCAAACAGACCTGTATTAACTGAAATGAAAACAGCTTAACAATATTTAGATTAATAACTAAATAGAATTAAATTACAGAGAATACTTTTAAAGAATATATGAAGTTGACATGCCTGGTATTATGTTTAGAAACCACATCTAAACAACACATCTCTGGTACATTACACAAAATTCGGGTCTTGCCACAGAGAACTCATGAATGTGTCATAAATAAAAGTGCAACGCTGCCTTCTTGCTGTGGGGGTTGCTATATTCAAGAGGCACATTTCAATTCAGCAAAAGCAGCCATCCTAAATGTGCTAATGATTTGAGTGATGGCAGGGAATAATCCACCAGCGCTCAAGCCGGCAGACGCAAATTAGACATGTAAATGCTGACCTTTACCAATGGCATTTGAAATGAGCTGTCGGAAGTGATCTGGCCCAGCGCTCGCTGTCACCTTTCAGCTGGAGCCTCACGCACGTGTGCTGGCAAAAAACGATCGGCTTCATGCCTCTGCTGCTTGATCTGTCTGTTCTTTTGGAGCCCTGGTTAACCTTGACCTCTGCAGGGGCTGCTTTATGGTGCCATTTGGCCAATAAGCATAAATACAGTGTAGCAAGCTGTCATGTGTTCTTCTACAGCAGCGCAGACACCTGCGTGATGTTGTTGATATTGATAACCACACTGTAAACAGTGTTGCCTCAAATAAACAGCTAATAATGAATTGCAAATGGGCCCCAGGTATTGATCCGCCATTGGCATTTTGGATGTGTGGAGAGAAGGGGGGTGGCAGTAGTGGCGGCAGTGGGGTGGGGGTTAGGTTGCCAGTGTCGATGATTCATCAAGCAGCTCCCTTTTGTGTGAGGTGGCCTTTGACTGTGAGCTTGTCACTTGCTCTTGTTATCTGCTGTTGCTCTCCGGCTTAACGCAGGGCCCCCCTCCCTCACACAAAAGGGGAAAGGCTGGACGAGGGGGGAGCCAATTATTGGACAGGCTGCCTTGATAGTGTGGCTTAACAGCTGGCTTATTGAATGGGAGAGATGGGAGGGTGCTGCTGTGTATGTGTTAGAGAAAAAGAGATGGTGAGGAAGCATAAAGCCTTGGCTGTGTGCCATCTTGGTGAGCACTCATGGTATCCTTACTCAATCTGGCACGTAGCATGCACTCATTCTCCAGGGCAGCCAGCTTATCACTGTGTCAACATCTTTATGGGGCTCTAAATATACCGGGATCAATACAAAGTCTTCTGAGACATTCATCTACTGTATCACAGCAACCGAGATATTCATCTGGCCTGGTCTGAGCCTTGCAACTTGGATTTCCTACAGCAGAGCTCTTTAACAGGCTCCATATGCTACATCAATATGTTTCAACACAGTATTATTCTGAGGGGCAATGAGGTTTAATGTTGTACTCATATGAAATTAGTCTAAGAATGGGATGACATCTGACAGCGAAAGCATTTGTGATACTCATGAATAGCTTTACAGTGATTTTAATGTGATACCAAATTTGATATTTGAGAATAATAAATAAAAAAAGGCTAGTATCTTTTTTAAACATATAACAAGAACTAAACTCGGGAACAGTTCCGTAATGATAGTTAGACACGCTGAACAAGAAGTTCTGGGCCGAAGGATAACCTGTTGTTTGTCTCTTAAAACATCATCTTTGTTTTTTGATCACAGTACCTGTGTGCACACGGTAGTGGGTTTCCAGCTGGTGCTTGAGACTGAACTTCTTCCCACAGCCGTTACATTCATAGGGCTTCTCCCCAGTGTGGATGCGTTTGTGGCCCTTCAACGTGCTCTCATCTCGAAAACAGCTCCCGCAGAACTCGCACTCAAATGGGTGGTCCCCTGCTGAAACATGAAGAAAAGGTTGTTTACTTCATCTGTTGTGAAAAGGAAAAAAACTACAACACTTCCTGTGTTTGTGTATGAACTGAACTGAGTGTGAAGAACAGAAACATGAAGCTCTGTTTACTGTACATTTACAAGAATGCATTAAACTGATACTTAACACTAACCAAAAACTGTAAGCAAAGAGTCATGATAGCTAAAGTGAGCCGAGTTACTGAATGTGCTGGTTACCTTGGTTGTGTTTGGGAATTAATTGTCTGGTTATTTTGGTGAGTTTATGCACAGTGCCAGAACAACAGATGTTATGCTTTCATGGATACCTGCTTCAAGGCTCTAACACCAGCAGACAAAAAGTAACCCATCTTTTATCTCACTACAAATCACCTGCACTGCTCTTTTGCTTTGTGTAAATCCTTAAATAATTGCAGCCTGTCATGGATGTTCACTGGCCATGAGATGTATTATTGACTGTGCAGTCCCAGTTTTACAATGCACTAATGGATAACCTGACTGATGTGGCAAACCTACAATAATGAGCTGAGTTTGTCATCAAAGAATATATTATCATCCTTTGATATATACGTGTTGAATCAAACAACAAACACCTCGTTTTCTCCACTTCCTCTCGGCATAAAGTTGTACAAGACGGCTGTTTTACAACGCCTGCCAAAAACACTGTGAGCTGTGGCCAATCACAGTCATCTATTTGTGTCTGAGTATTGTCAGAGTCAGAAAAATGATCTGAGCTGACAAACTGATGAAAGTCAGAGTACAAGGATATATTGTTGATTTTTGTTCAAGTTCAATTTCACCAGTTTTTCTAAAAAAACAAACAAACAAAAAACATCATGGTCCACTTGGAAGAAAATATCCTTCATGTTCTTGAAAAGCCAACTTTCTGAACCAATCTACTAAATACTGCAGAATTTAGATAAGGTGGCTAAAACACTAATATTTTGATGGCCAGTGGTGGAAGAAGTGCTCAGATTGTTTACTTAAGTATAAGTAACAATACAACAGTGTAAAAGTACTGCATTATCCTCTAGAGTCCTGAGCTTTGGTTTCATATGCATTTTAATTTTTTCCTATCTATTTGGGATTATTGGGACATGATAAGTATAAAATCCAAGTATGGTCTTTGAACAGGAAGTCATTTTTGAGAAAAATGATGTCCTCATATGGGGACATTGGGTTTATTTTAATGCGTAATACAATAAAATTACTGGTGTTTGAGACAGAACAAAACTATGCCAGAACATGGCTGTGCACACAATATTTGCAACACATTACAGAATAAACATAGCTGTGCAAAAACAAAATTTGCTGACAATATTTGCAACACATCACAGTACAAAACTATTCCAGAAAATGGCTGTGCACATATTTGCATCACATTAGAGAATAAATCTATGCCAGAACATAGCTGTGCAAAAACAAAATTTGCTAACAATATTTGCAACACATCACAGTACAAATCTATGCCAGAACATGACTGTGCACACAGTAATTGCAACACATTGCAGACTGATGACTACATGACTACATATTTCAAAAGTATGTTTTGTCTCAATTCATTTTGTGCAGAGAAATTTCATTTGTTTGTAGTCTGTAGAAACAGTATCACACCTATGGACCTTTGTGAAAAGCTGCAAAACAGTTACGTTCAGTTTGCAAACACAGGAACATGTTGCATGTCATACATCGGACACGTGATTTCCCTGAGCATCCTGTTTGTCTGCAACGCATTGGGTTTTTCAGGTTGACCATCTCTGGAAGATGTTTTGTAGAAGTTGTTCGGATTGAGACATGCGGTACTGGGGTGATCTGATGTCTGCTTCCTTGTTGCAAAGGGTGTGCATTCTCTTCTTGTGCATCTTCAACAGCAGTGCCACACTTGCTCAAGTATGCCTGAGCCACTGTCATGCGAAACTGAAGAAACTGCATCATGTCTCTTTTTGGTGTGCCACACAGAGTGTTGTCTTGGCGATATAATAGCCAGCTGTTGGCTAAAGCAAGATCAAGGAAGTGCATCAGCATTCGAATGGTCCACTTCTTGGTTCGGACACTCATTCGGTAGTAGCTCATCATCCTGTCTGTCAAGTCAACCCCGCCCATCTTGGTGTTGTACTCGCGCACAATACTTGGTCGCATGACAGACACATATTGCTTGTCTTTCTTGGACCATCGCTGGCACACATCTTCTGGCTGTTCAGCATGAACAGTGGAAAGCATCAAAACTGCTTTGTTGTCATACCACTTCACCACACAAACCTTGCCATCTCCTCTGGTAACTGAGGCTGAGGCACCTCGTCCTTGCTCTTTCATGTCTTGGTCACTTGGTAGCTTCTGCAGTGGTTCAGTGACCCGGTTCTTCATTATTGTACCAGTTAGGTACACCTGCTTCTCCAGCATTTGATCTACAGCTTTCATGGATGTGAAGAACCGATCACAGTATACCTTTGTGCCAGGGTGTAGAGTTTTAGCCAGACGTGCAATAACCAGTACTCCCAAACCAAGTTCCTCTGCATCCTGGATCTGTGATCTCAGTGAGTTTGCACCTTGGTAGACTTCAAAGTCCAGCACAATGCCACCTGCTGTAGCCAGCACAAAGTTTTTCATGCCAACTGGATTGGGCTTTAGTGGCACATACTGTCGAAATGGGCAAGCTCCTGTAAATGGGATCATCTGCTCATCAATTGATACACATTCTGGTCGAGCCTGAAGCAAGCAGCCTTTGAGGATGCGATCGATAAAGGGCCTGGTCTTCCAGAATTTGTCAGCTTTCCTCATGTCTTCAGAAATGTCACTATCAATGACTACTTTCAGATGTTTCCTCAGTTTGAAAAATCTGTCACGCTTGAGTTTGTCACTAATGGCAGGGATTCTCAAGGCACTGGACCAGAACATTCTAAGCTGTGGGTAAGACACACAAGACATGAAAATGGATGCTCCAAAAAATGATAAATCTCATCAACTGATGTGTTGAGAGAGCTACCACTGTTAGATAGAGACATAGCATTTGTGCAGTTAGCAATTAGATTCATCAACTCTCTATCAATGTACTGCTCCATATAGTCCAGTGGCTGCCAGTTATGTCTCTCATGCAGAGTTTCCTCTTCAGCCTCAAACTGCACTATGTCTGGAGTGAAGGCACTTGACTTCCAGCGCACTCTACTTGTATTCTTGCTAGATCCTGGCTCAACACTTCTACCACGCTTACGTTTACGTGCACATTCTGTGGATGGTGGTGGCTCACTGTCACTATCACTGCTCTGCTGATCAGATTCTGATAAATCAGGTGGAATATAATCTTTATCATGTAGTAGTTCCACACCAGGATCAGCTTCTTCACCATCAGACAGCTCCTCCACATCAGAGTTCTCTCCTACTATTGCATTCAGCAGTCTTTCTGCTTTTGACAAAGAAATGGACCCTAGACATGTATCGGATAACAATAAAAGAAATTTAATCAATGTAGACTAATGTGTACCACATGCAACAACTGTTTATATTTATATTTAGTGGAAACTGTTAGTTTTTTTTCACAAATCTTCCCAAGCCATGTGTCATTACTGGTCCCAATGTCCTCAAACGAGTACTTCATAGTTAGAAGCCTCCTAACTTGTTACTATTGCTAAAAGATGTCAAATTTATATACCATCTCAAACTACAGACATTAAAAAGCATAAATTAGCAGGTTTCAACCATGAAATGTTTTTAGGTTTTGTACCTTGTCCATTTTTATTTCGGGCTCGGCCGTAGAACATCTTGACTGAGATCGACGCCATCTTGGAATTATAGTAACACATGTAATGTGCTTTTCCTACCACAAGATGGTGGTAAAAGTGTCTACATACGAGGACAACAGGTCTAAGTTGAGAAGAAATAAAGTATATGGTGCAGGAAACCCAAAATGTGTGGTCCTCATATGAGGACGCAGGGACTCTAGAGGTTAAGAGTCCTGCATTCACAATGTTACTTTAGTAAAAGTACAACTGTATCAAAATCACTTACAGTACTAAAAGTACTCATTCTTCACAAAGGCGCATTGCATGTGAATGTACATCACATTATTGGACTATAATTATTGATGTATTATTGTATACATCGCATTTAATGTTGCAGTGCTTTACATACTGCTGTGTAGCCAGTGAATTTCCTACAATAGATCAATAAAGTTTTATGATTATATTGTGTTTTGTTCCATCTCATTCTGAAAAGTAACAACTAAAGTTGTCAAATAAATGTAGTTGAGTAAAAAGTAAAATATTTTTTTCTCTAAAATGTAATGAAGTCAAAGTATGAAGTAGCAGAAAATAAAAACACAGAAGAGATACCTGAAAATTGTTTTTAAGCACAGACCTTGAGCAAATATACTGTTACTTTCCAACTCTAAGGTCAGCGCTGCACTACAGAGCAAACAGACAGCGATTTAAGGATGAGCTACATTTAAGCAACTGAATCTACTCAAGAAAGACGGCAGTCATGATTTTGCAGCTTCAAAAACAAACCAACACTTTTTAAGTTCACGCCTAAAAGGGCAAATTTACTTGTACTTATGTCCTTCCATTGATTTTATATACATTTGCCTCATGTTCTGTCTGAACACAAAGGTTAAGTGGTTAAGAGATTCTGCAGTGACAACATCATGCTACTTTGTTATTTGACATGAGATCGCCAGGAAAACCTACACATATTAAGTATATTTAAGAGTTTAAACAAGCAAAGGATAAAAATAAAATAGTAACCAGTAAGTAACCGGTAAGATGACAGTGATCACGGCTGCAGGTACATCTCCCCGACCTGCAACACTGCACCAGTTGAAACATAATAAAGCACTTCTTGTTTTTTAAACTTATTTTTATGTCAATTCTTACATCTTCAGTATTTTAGGTATTTATTTAAAAAAATAACCAAAAGAAAACTAGAGTTAGGTTATAGCCAAATGTATATCCCTATCTGACTTTTCATATCTTTACTTTCACTGTAGTTATTTACTGTCAGCATACTGTACCATCTGTTTTTATTTATGTCCCCTCTGTCTAACCCTTTCACACTGGGTAAAACTGTAATCAGAGTTTTAATTATTTCCATCTTGAGACATTAGACTTCTTTCAGACTGGTTGTAGATGTACAGTATGTGTGCCTTTGAAAATGAAAACGACAAGCTGCTAGAACACAGGTCCCCACTGACAGGCTGTAATGGATATTCAGATGTCAGTGATTAGGAATATTATGATTTGCAGTAGTCCAAAGACTAATTGTATTCCCATGTTTGATGAGGGGCTGCTTCTTACATCGTTTGCCCCCCACCCCACCAACGTTACCCTCTCTATCCAAGTAATGGCGTGGATATTTATTAATGTATTTCACTCCACCACTGCAGGTTTAAGTCACCATCAATGACCTATGCCTTTCATTATCTGCCTGTCCGAGCAGCAACATGCCAGAGAATAAATTGCATTTCTCGTTATGTGCTGCTGCGGCCGCCCCTCTGTTAAGAGACAATTTCACTTTCATTCTGCATATTTTATTTAAGATTTTATGTCTGTATATACAGTGTGTAAGCCTTTATTTGGTTTATTTAGGAGGGAAAAATAGAAAGAGGGATGAAAGAGTAATGAGAGATGGATACCCTTTAAATGCTGATCACATTTCGGGTGTGCTATACTATCATGGAAGAAAACATTTCCGATGCCTTGTGATGTTGGACGTCTTCCCATTAAAGGGAAGCTTTGATGGGGATGGAGCAGTGTGGGGGGAGGGATAAAACTGAGAGCAGGGATGGAGCAGGAGATGTGGGTGTATATGGTAGTGGCGGTGGGGGCTGGGTAAAAATCAATAAAAGTGACAGTCTTTATTTGTCTGCATGAAGTTATCAGTGGCTCCCGCTGTAAGACATTGTGCTCTTTCTAGCGTTTCAACCACAGCAGAGATCACAATCCATCACGGAGCTCGGTGAGCTCGCCCGACGTTGCAAGAATAATAATTGAGCTCAGATTCACCTGCCTTTAATTAGGGCCTCCGATCAGACCAGCGAGTGGGTTGCTAATATACAGGGGAGGCCTATGGAGGGTTATTTATTCTTAATGTCTTGCTGCTGTGCTAACGTCTGCTGTTGGAAAACATCAACAAAAATCTTGGATTAGGAGGAAAGAGTTTGTAGCCTTTCTCACATGCAATACAAGGTTGTCACATAAACAATGTACCTGGGTTTCTGTATTACATTACTCTTACTACAACATATTTAGACTTTACTTTAGTGGTGACAATTTTTCTTTCCTTTCAGAATGCTCTGAAAATCACATACAGACTTGAACCCATAAATAAAAAAATGGATACAGTATCTGTGAGATCACTTATTGGTTGTTTACAGATGTGGTTACACTTGACTACTGCTCACAGTCCTCTTACAAATCTATATTTTGATGAAGTAGGAAGCCTTTCAGTAATAATATCGAAGATCAGCCTACTTGAAATTGTCTTAGTTTATGTAGTTGTCTTTAAATTTGATTAAAATCACAAGTTGTTTATTTTCAATGAGGTCTTAAATTTTTGTTACATCAAATATTGATATTTTTAACTGTGCATTAACTAACATTTTCAGTCTGGTAAATTGAACTAAAATGGTCGCTCCACTGTCCTATCCCCTCCATGACAGTCTGCCATTTACAACCATTCTATTGTTATTCTAGCTTCTCTTGAACTTGTAATTCGAGCTTCGTGTTACATTACCAGTAACCAGACCATTCTACTGGATTGCCAGATTTACTCCTTATCAGCTGATGCTAACTTCGGACTGGAGGCTGCATGCTGTCATGCACCCATTTAGTTTACATTGTTGCTAGGAAACAGGACGTGACGGAAGGGGCAAAGAGCAGTTAGGAACGACTTACAGGTCTGAGGTCAGTTTGTTTCGACTCTCAGTAGCCCCTCTAGTGGCTGAAAAAAACAACTTTAAGCCCCATGCCCCCCTCCCCCCAAAAAACTTAAATACAAATCAAATAAATGAAATATACCAAACCACATGGCAACCCTAAACCGTACCAGAAAAGATAATGGCACACCTACTCTACATTTTGTAATCATGCTACCCATAAAAACTGGGGTACGGGTAGTTATTCAGGTTCAAGCACTGCTAAATATATACAACAAATAAACAACAGATAATAGATTTTCTTTCTTATTGGGAATTGATACTGTACATTCACACATTAAAAGAGAGTACAGATATACCATGTCTGGTATTAGCTGAGGCAGACAAGTAATAGTTGTGAGTGACTGCTGTCCAGCTCCTGTATGTGCTTGGGATGCATATCATGCATGTTATCTCCTCTAGCCACTCGGGGACGCCAGAGTGCAAAGTTGCACTGCAGACTTTAAATAAATCAGATACAATTCTATAATCACATTGTGAGGATGTAAAGGGCCAGACAGGACTTCATTTTGTCAGGATATTCTCATGAGGACTGGAGATTAATGGGGACATGTCCTCTGTCCATCTCAAATCTGCCACTATTACTTCCTCTCTCCTTTCTTTCCTCCTCCCTTCCTTTCTCTTTCTCTCTGGTGTGACCACATGGCAGGGAGACCACAGATGAGAATCAGGCACAGTGAGGTGGAACCACAGCATGGTGAGTAGACCCTTGGGTGCCCCCGAGCATCACCACCTGCGTCTCCCGACCCACCCCCCAACCATCTCTATACTTACACCCCCACTTCCCTATCATCTCCTTTGACACCCCGAAGGCCTGCCGAGGGTTTCTGTGCCCATGGGCACCCTGGGCGTGTTCATTATATACAGTAAGAGGCTGTAAATCACTGGGCTCCATCAATGCCAGGGCCAGAGCTGGCTCATTCTCTCCCTCTATAAATTCAATCCAGTCCTCTCTCTCTCTCTC